GACTCATACAGAAGTTAATTTTCATGTCTTGCTTTCAGGAGATCTCACGTCGACCCTCTAGTCGACTCATACTGTGTGTATTTGTGCTTTTCAAAATTGGGGTGCTTTGCGTCGACGCAAAGTGCTGTTTCCTGCATAATCCTGAACTTGGGAGAGCTCAGATTGGCCCTCCCCTTGTTTTAGGTCGACCGCTCGCGTGTTTCTCACAGAATTTCTGTTATGCTTAACATTCTAAGTGATTGTTATGTTGGTTATTTGATTTCAACTTTGCATATATATATTGAGTTAGTTCATTCTTCACCATAATAACAAGAAAAGTGAAAATATACACTGATTTGATTCTCATCATCTTCATCCTCTTTCTTACATTTTCTCAACAACTACACATAATCATTTTTGTTGTGTATTCTGTATCATCAAGGTGATAACGTCCAAACATAGAATTGGTCTATCGAGTTTGGGTTGAGAAATCAATGACTTTTTCTCGAATAAAACCTTGAGGGTTTTGTCCTCCAAGAATCTTGGATTTTGGGGGTTTTGCACAAATCGTTCCTTCACAGATTCAGCCGAGCAAAGGTAATTGAAGAACGGGAGGTTCTGTCAATTTAGTAGCGTTAACCGGAGGATTATGGTAGGAAGGTTTGGGTTTGAATCGTTGGTGTTTGAAATCAGTCGGGCAAGATTTAAAGACCAGAGGATTGTTCAAAGGTGGTATCATAATCAGAGGTTTATTCATCACGTTCGAAGAACTTGATTCATCTTGAATCAAGGGAAGAGAAGGCATAGGCTCGACATCAACATTTGGGTTTGATTGTTTATTGCTTCTCTTGTAAAAACAATTTGCAACTGGTTATATATACATGTCTCAATTCTATTTTTAGAATTGAGGGCAGACGTACCCTGAGCGAGGACGACGGGGGAACTGCCTCAACGAATTGGTGTTCTCTCTTTTTACTATTTTCATTGTTGAATTTTGAGTTTATGTGCAAACATATTAGTTGATTAACATTATGGTGTGTGTTAGTGCTGAAACATTTTTAGAAACCTCATTACAATCTTTTGATTGTAATTGAAGAACATAACACTTCATTCACCTATTGAAATTTACTTGAGGTGCTTCGCACACCAAGTGTTCGACTAATTGCGTGAACACAAACACTTGAGTTGTTTTTCAATTGGTTTATATTTCACACACATTGGAAACTGTCCAACTTTAACTGAACAAAATCTGATTGATTTGTGTTCAAATTATTGATTCTAATTCTCGTCTTTATTGGTACTCTATATAGGCTTTGCATATATCTGATCTTTTTGGTAACGGTTCGTTTAGACGAGTATAGTTCCTCGGCCGATTCCGCTTAAAACTTTTTAAAATCCAAATCTTAATAAGCGCCGACTCTGTTTTTAATAAGTGATCTATTCAACCTCACTTCTAGATCATTTCCTTCGTCTAACACTAATCAGTTATGCACCACCATCAACATATATTTCTCTTGCACCCAAGAAAAATGGAAATGTTCACCCATGTTCTTCCTGATATTTTGTATAACATTCCCCAATGTAATCCCTAAATATGTCTCTACACTTGTGGAAGTTATGTTAGAACTCATCAATAAGAGGTAAATAAGTTTCTGACTAGGGGGATATGGAACAAACATGATACATTGTCCAACCTAACTATCATCCCTACAAACGAGGGATGGAAAAAAGAAGTCTTAAATGCTACCTTTCTGCAAAAGTAAAGATTAGTAGACTATCTAGCATGGTGAGTGAAAAACACATCAACAATAACAAACCAACATCAATGACAACCCTAGAAACCTAAACGCACATTTCCATCCTAGATAATTGACTAATTTTCTAAACTGACTTCAATCATGAATCCAATGAAGACATGTGGCGAGACTATCACTAATCAATAAGTGATTACGATAGTGATAAGATCTCTGACTTCAGAATTTGATTTCATAGTGGCGGCGACTCAAGAATTCAAAGATTTGAAGATCTTGAAGATAGAAGAAATGTAAAGTTCATTAGAGGTTCATGAACTTATGGTGATTGATTGAGGAACTAAGAGGTCAATTAAAAAATCCTTGCAAGTAAGACGATGTAGAAAGATGGCCATGAAAAGGAAGCTCAAGAAGAATGTCAAAGAAAGTTACAAGAACGCAAACTAGTCCAACAATAAAAGATCAAAGGTTGATGGAAAAGATGAATCCTCCAAGAAATGAGGAGGCTTTGGCACCAAACAGTAAAAGAAGAAATAATTTGATAAAAGGAAGCTATAGTGCTACAATGGTGAAAAGTTTGATCATTTTGCTAATGAATGTTCACACAAGAAGGATAGGGAGAAGAACCAAAGGAGTGATGAAGAGATATATATAGCTCATGATGATGACTATAATTTAGAAGTTATTTTGTTAATGGCCATAACTTGTGAAGGAAATCTTATGTGTGAGTTATGGTATCTTGCCCCAGGGTGTTTAAACACAATGAATGGCTCACAAATTTTGACTCAAATAATAAAAACAGTGTCATACTTAAAAATTGACTCTGAAGGCACATGCGTTGGGTTGGAAGGTTTAGTTAATGTTGAAGTGGCTTAATCACTTGAGAAAAAAATCATGTTAATGATAATATATTCAGTGAAAATATCGATGTGGAAAAATGTGCAGTTGAAGATAGTCAAAATGGTTTAGAGAAGGTATCAATTGACATCTATCACTGATAATGTTGTTGGAAAAGGTTTGACTATGATTGTGGTGAGCACATACACAAAGAAAGATGTGATTCCTTATGATATCGATGAATTGAAGAGGACTGCTGAGATATCAGAACTTCAGGTGGTTCTTCAAATAAAAGATTTAGCATATTTAATCAAGTCAGAAACTTTCGATGAGTGCATTGATAAAGAAAAAGTGGAAGTGACCGAGTACAAGCAGATTGTTAGATCATTGAGGTACTTATGATATAGCATTCCCGACAGCTTCTAATGCATCAAGTATAATCATCAGATACATAAGTGAGTATATGAAGTCACACATAATGGATGCAAAGAGAATACTCAAGTACCTAGAAGGAACCATGAGACTAGTCATGTTATTTCCATATGTTGCGAAGAAGAAGAAGAAGTAGTAGTAGTAGTGATTGATAAGTTATTCAAATTCTAATTGGTGGGGTGACAAAGTTGATGGAAGAAGCACCTAAATCTATGTTTTCTGTTAGAAACATGAGTATGATAATCTTGGATAACTTTGAGGAATCGTGTTCGTACACTTTCCGAACAAAGTATTTCGATCTTATTATTGCCTGGGTTCACGAAATCTTTGTGGGGATAATTCTTGAAGAACAATCTGCTTCTGGCAATAGAGAACAGATCAGGAATGTAGAGAGAAAGTATGGTTTTTGTTAAGTGTTTTAAACTGAGGCCAAATGACTCCTTATATAGGAGATTAATAACAAAAACCGAAAAGACACAACTGTTCAGAAAAGGGTTAAGTCGGTTGGGAAAGGGTTCAAATGTTCAGAAAACTTTCGAACGGGACCCCAGCTAGGGGCTCTGCCCCTTGGAACCCCAACGGGGCGCTGCCCCGCACCCCGCCAGGGGCTTCGCCCCTCGGAACCCCTTTTCAATTATTCACATTCAATTACACGTTGGGTCGACGAGCGTGTACTCCGCACTACCCTAACTCGTTTCCAAACTTAACGCATAATTGGATCGACCTACAGTAAATCACATTCCTACTAAAATACATTGATGATACTAAAATCACCAACATTTTCATGTACAATGAGACTATCATTTCCTGGTGTGCATAGAAACAACAATTGTTGGTGATGATCATGATGATTGGATATTGAAGAAGAGACTTGAAGAAAAAATGAAGAAGACATGTTGTGTATTACTATGTGTATTAGAGGGAACAACTAGGATTGATGCATATTTAGTCTTATGGAGAAATGTTGTTTAATAATTCCTAAACATAACATTTCCATTTACACTATAAACTGGTGTGAGTATATAGTTCAACCTATTTATACTATACACGCGCGCAAATATATAGTTCTTATACTATAAACTCATATTAACATATAGTTCAACGAAAGGAGTTATATTATACATCCGTTCAAATATATACTTTAGTTAATTAGTTTGTAATTAAGTCTTTTTTTTTTAGTATTTTAAACTAATTGTTTAACCAATCAATTATATAAATTGTATAAATGTTGTAAATATTTTGAGAATAAATGAAATATTTGATACAATTTTATTTAGTTATTTTTGCTGCACAAAAACCTCGATGCAGTATCAGCAACCGCGTTTCATATATGTTTTTTAAATCATAATTTTATTGTTTATTAATTGTGTATTTCAAAAATCTTTTAATTAGAATTCACACAATAAAAGTTGCAACGTGCCTTGTAGCAACGGCAACCTCAATTAAAAATCACATAGATATTGCTTTAGACCATAAAAAGAAAAACAAATACCGTTCTTCATAATCTTTCCGCGTATATCTGCGTTGTTAACTCCTTATAAGAACATTCTCTGTGATTGAGTGTTGGAATGGAAACTGCAAAGTCATGAATTTCCCCCACAAACTGTTAAAAAACCATGTAGAACTTGCAGCAGTACTATTAACCAATCAAAACAAGACAAAATTCCTTGACTCAAATCATGCCTAACAAAGTAACAAAAATACCATGATGTTTTTACAAAGTTTGCGTGACGTATTTGTTGTGTTCGGACAAAACAACTATATTCCCAAACCTCCAATGACTATTCTGTGTGCATTTGGAGCTAACAAACTACTAGCAAACAGAAAATGACAGGTGATAAATGTTTGGCACCATTCCTCATAAACGTTGACGCTACTATACAAGTAAACTTTGGCGATGGCTTCAATGTTCACATAATCTTCCTACTACAAAAACCCCTCAAACCCCCAACTCATTCCAACAACAACAACAAACCTTGTCTTTCTTCTCTCTCTGTAACCATGTCATCATCAGTAACACCGATTCTGAAAGATGAACTGGACATCGTGATTCCAACGATAAGGAACCTCGATTTCTTGGAACAGTGGAGACCATTCTTCCAACCATATCATCTTATTATCATACAAGATGGTGATCCTTCTAAGGTCATCAAAGTCCCTCAAGGCTTTGATTATGAGCTTTATAACCGTAACGATATTAACCGTATTTTGGGTCCTAAAGCTTCTTGTATTTCATTCAAAGACTCGGCTTGTCGCTGCTTCGGTTTCGCGATCTCCAAAAAGAAATACATCTTTACCATTGATGATGACTGCTTTGTATGTCTTCTTTATCTCTCTAATTATAGTTTCTTCTGTGTTTCTTATCTGTTAACATCATATGAGATTGGTTTGTATTTTCTAGATCCTTCCTAGGTCTGAGGTACCTTTGTTTTTTCAGGTTGCTAAAGATCCATCTGGCAAAGAAATTGATGCTCTACAGCAGCACATTAAGAACTTGCTGACTCCATCAACCCCATTTTTCTTCAACACTCTCTATGATCCATATAGAGAAGGTGCGGATTTTGTCCGTGGATATCCATTCAGTCTTCGTGAAGGTGTCCCAACAGCCGTCTCTCATGGACTATGGCTTAACGTTCCTGATTATGATGCTCCTACTCAGCTTGTCAAGCCTCGCGAAAGAAACACTAGGTATTTGTTTTGGTATCTGCTTCAAATTATAATCAGTGTCTACGTGTCGTGTCAATATTGTGTTTGGTGTCTATATCTGAACAAGTGCTTCATAGATTGTAGCATTGTTTTTTTCTTAGGTATGTAGATGCTGTTATGACAATACCAAAGGGAACTCTCTTTCCCATGTGTGGTATGAATTTGGCATTCAACCGTGATTTGATCGGCCCTGCATTGTACTTTGGACTTATGGGTGATGGCCAACCTATTGGTCGCTACGATGATATGTGGGCTGGCTGGTGCGCGAAGGTACTTCAAATTTTGATTCTATTAACTCATTCATCAATGTATATGTCCTCTGAAAAGTGCTAACAATATACTCTGTTTGATGATGTAGGTGATAAGTGATCATTTGGGACTAGGAGTGAAAACAGGTTTGCCTTATCTGTGGCACAGCAAAGCTAGCAATCCATTTGTGAACCTTAAGAAAGAGTACAAAGGAATATACTGGCAGGAAGAACTGATACCATTTTTCCAATCTGTTTCTCTTCCAAAGGAATGCACAACTCCTCAAAAATGCTACATTGAACTCTCCAAAAAAGTTAAGGCAAAACTTGGATTGGTTGATGACTATTTTAACAAGCTTGCTGATGCTATGGTTACTTGGATTGAAGTTTGGGATGAGCTTAACTCTTCTGAGGAAAAAACTGTTGCATTGCCTAATGGTTTAGAAAAGTAGATTCTTGATTTGAGGCTCTAGGAATAAGTTGTTACTTTCTTTCTTTTGTTAGAACAGCAATGAAGTTTGAATGTGTCTTTATTTGTATTGTTTTATATCATTTCTTGAGATTATTGTATTGAAGCATATGCTTTATCTAAATGGACTTGAATAGTTATTTTATCTAGAATTTCTTCCATGCAGTCCTTGTTGAGAAAGTTTCAGTTTAACTCTTTAACATGCTTATAGACTTCTTGAATTTGGCTTTTGGACAGATTGGTGACACTGCATTTGTTTTCAAATGGATGAGTTTTTCTAGAAATTGAACATCTTATTACAACTTCCTATAATAGGGTTTTAGTTGAGTTGAGGAGATTCGAATTCCTAGACACATTATTCCAGCTGTGTTATAATATGCATGGGTTGGATTTCAAAAGAACAACATCTTATTCACCTTATACATCCACTTTATAGTCTCACCAATTTTATTATGAAATGTCTTAATTCACACTAAATATTACTAAAGTACCACGTGAAAATACAAAAATGTTTCTAAAATTTGAAGATCCATCTTCAAATGCATCTTAAATTAATAGAAATCTGATTTACTGTGAAAAATTACAGAAATGCATCTTCGTAAACATTACGGAGATGCATCTTTGTAAACGTTACGGAGATGCATCTTCGAGCGCCGCTTGTACGTAACGCATCATAAGATCCACCGAGGCCAACTCACAAGAGATACTAAAGGAGGAGCAGACTAGGTTAGATCATGCTCATGATGTGTTGCCTAGATGTTGTCGTATCGTGAAGATTGTGCGGACAGGTATTGACAGAGGTATCTTTTCTGATGATTCTGAGGTGAGGGAGATCCTATATGCCATTATAACGGAGACACTAATGTACCAGAGACATCGCCGGTGCACGAGGGGCCGAGGAGCTCGAGTCCGGCATACGCAGTAGTTGATAGTATTTGTAGTTTGGATTTATGTTCGGTTGTATTTTAATTTTACTTATTTCGACTTCATTGTACATTTCGACTTTATTGTGTATGTCATAATGACTTATTTTGACTTCGGATTTATATATGTCATTTTTTACATATCAGCTGTATGGTTTAATGCTCGTCACATAACATGGGCCTTAACATTTAAAATATCGTCACTTTTATTGGAGTAATCATAAAACTAACTTAACTTGCACTATTTTTATTGGTTACGGAGTTGTATCTTCGTACACCATAAAATGGACCTTTCAGAGAGGGATGCATGAGGTGTGATTTGAAATATTTTGGAGATGCATCTCCAAATTTGTGTTTACAAAATATGTCGGTGTGACTGAGTGAGATGCATGAGGCGTATTTTGGAATAATTCGGAGATGCATCTCTAGATCAACTGTAACATTTTGACTTAAGACAAGGGTGTGTTCAGAAATGCCTCTCAGAAATCTGAAGGGCATTTTAGGTTTTCCATATGGTGTTTTTACACCCTATATGTGGGTTAAGACATCTCCTTTTATTATGTATTTATGAATAATAGACTGGATATTTTTATTGTTTTGGTCTGGTCAAAGGTCCAATACGAGTAAGATCCAAGCGATAATCCAATAACGCAAACTCTGTTAAACGGAAGTTTTACCCCATACCCCTACACTTATACCTATACCCCTACATTAAAAAATTTTGGACCAAAATATCCTCGTATAAAAATTTATTATTTTTTAATTTTTTTTAATATTTTTTTATTTGTTTACCGGAAGACTTTTTGGAAGTCTTCCGGTTCACATTTTTTTAGTATGTTTACCGGAAGACTTTTTGGAAGTCTTCCGGTACATATTTTTTTAGTTTGTTTACCGGAAGACTTTTTGGAAGTCTTTCGGTTCATGTTTTTTTTTTAATTTGTAATTAATATTTAAGATTTATTAATTTTATATAAAACCAATTTAGTAAATTTTTGAATATTATACTTAAAATATAAAAATTCTATAAATAGAGAATCATTTTCAAAATATTTTCTATTTACTATAATTATTAGAATACTAGGATTAAAATCATTTATTTTAAATGATCATAATAGTAGAATTTTTTCAAATATCTTATTAATCTTAAACATTAATAAATAAAATAAATTTAAATATAAGATATAAGTTTACATTATTCAATATATTTAATCAAATGAAAACATATGTGATAAATAAATAATGTATTTTAACTTAAAATGATCACAATAAGTTAACTTGCAAAATAATATAAGTAATAAATTAATAATGTATTTTATTTAAAATAATCACAATAATAAAATACGCAAATAATGTGTTTTATTTATAGGACTGATATAATTTTATTGATTATTTAATTTTGAATACTACTATGAATATAGTATTTAATCTATACTTTAGAACTCACATAATTATAAATATAAAAAATATTGTTTTATTACCCATATTTTTATTTAATTAAAAAAAATAAGAATATAAATTTATTATATGTTTTTCATTTTTGTTTGATCTTTTTAATTATTTCACTTTATTTAATATTTTTAATAAAATAAATAATATATTTTATTTAAAGTAAGCACAGTGTAGAATATGCAAAAAATTTATAAATAAAAAAAGATCAAACGAAAATGAAAAACAAATAATAAATTTTTATTTTTATTTTTTTTAATTAAATAAAAATATGGGTAATAAAACAATATTTTTTATATTTATAATTATGTGAGTTCTAAAGTATAGATTAAATACTATATTCATAGTAGTATTTAAAATTAAATAATCAATAAAACTATATCAGTCCTATAAATAAAACACATTATTTGTGTATTCTATTATTGTGATTATTTTAAATAAAATACATTATTAATTTATTACTTATATTATTTTGCAAGTTAACTTATTGTGATCATTTTAAGTTAAAATACATTATTTATTTATCACATATGTTTTCATTTGATTAAATATATTGAATAATGTAAACTTATATCCTATATTTAAATTTATTTTATTTATTAATGTTTAAGATTAATAAGATATTTGAGAAAATTTTACTATTATGATCATTTAAAATAAATGATTTTAATCTCATTGTATTCTAATAATTATAGTAAATAGAAAATATTCTGAAAATAATTCTCTATTTATAGAATTTTTATATTTTAAGTATAATATTCAAAAATTCACTAAATTGGTCTTTATATAAAGTTAATAAATCTTAAATATTAATTACAAATTAAAAAAAAATATGAATCGGAAGACTTCCAAAAAGTCTTCCGGTAAACAAACGAAAAAATATGAACCGGAAGACTTCCAAAAAGTCTTCCGGTAAACATACGAAAAAAAATGTGAATCTGAAGACTTCCAAAAAGTCTTCCGGTAAACAAATAAAAAAATATAAAAAAAATTAAAAAATAATAAATTTTTATACGAGGATATTTTGGTCCAAAAAGTTTTAATGTAGGGGTATAGGTACAAGTGTAGGGGTATGAGGTAAAATTTCCCTGTTAAACTTGTCCGTTATGTATAACATGCACACAAAAATTATAAGGTACACACTTGTAATACCCCAAATTTTGCCCTAAGATTTGTCGTTGCATTTCATTGCATTTTTATTGCATTTAATCAATTACTAACAAATTTGTGTAGTCGTTTGACTTTTTGCAGGTAAATATCATATGGCATGCATTTTTTTTCTAAAAAGTAAAAATGACACAATTGGCAGGAGGACATGTGTAAGGAGTTATGAGTGTGAGAGGTTGAGAGTTCAAATCTCACCTTTGTCACTTTTTTGTTTTTTATTATTTTTACTCTAAATTTTTCTATCTTTCATTAAAAAAATAACAAAAATAGTTTTTTATTATTATTTAATTATTATTTTCGTATTTTAATTAAATCATTTTTTAAAATATTATTTTTTTCACTTTTTTCTAAATTATTCATAAAAATATCCAAAAAATCATAAAATAAAAAATATTGAAAAAAATTTTGTTCTTTTTATAATATTTTTGATTTTAGGAATCAATAGGATTATTAGTTTTTATTTTAAGTTTATTTTAAATTATTTAAATTTTATTTTTTCTTAACTAATTATTTAGTTTGGGCTTTAAAATGGGCTTTAGGGACATTATTGACAATTTGGTGTTAACCCTAATTTGTTCCCTATATATAAATGTTGCCTTGTTGGAAAGGGGGAGAATGAAAAAAACCTAAGAGGAGTGAGTGCCGTTTGCCGTTATTTAGTTTTCTTCTTCATCCATTACTATTGTTTCTTTTTCTTCATCGTTTACCGTTATTTCTTTTCCTTCATCTATTACTGTTGTTTCTTTTTCTTCATCTTTTACCGTTATTTCTTTTTCTTCATCTTTTACCGTTATTTATTTTTCTTCATCTATTACCGTTATTTCTTTTTCTTTATCTATTACTGTTACGTTTATATATATATATATATATATATATATATATATAATTTTTAAATTGTTAGAGTTTATATATATAAGATTAATTTTTGATCGAATTATGTCGATACGATGTTTGCACATTTGTGTGCATGACGCGTGACATTTGTGTTAGTTCGATCTGGTTGCGATGATCGCATTTTTGTGTGAGCAATAATACTATTTTTTGCTTAATTTCTTTTTCTTTGCGATAAATTTTGTTTCGTCCGATTTAGATCTGGTTGCGATGAGCGCATTTCTGCGTTAGCAACATTGTTGGGTTATTTGGCACATTTAAAATTCATTATTGCTTTATTATTATTATTATTATTATTATTATTATTATTATTATTATTATTATTATTATTATTATTATTATTATTATTATTATTATTATTATTATTATTATTATTATTATTATTATTATTAGTATTATTATTATCATTATTTATTATTATTATCATTATTATCATTATTATTACCATTATTATTATTATTGTTATCATTAATTTATTAAAACTTGTTATAATATAAAAATCTGTTTTTTAAAATAAATAACATTAACATCTTTTCCAAATTAATATGAAAACCTA